TTTTTAGGGAATATAATGGTATTTTATTTTAGAAAATAAGTTTGTTTTAATTTCAATAAACGTTTATACAGCCGAGTCTGGACCTCCTGTGTAAATTTGGCCACCATTAAAAAAGCCTCCTTGTATATACATAATTTTTTATGTAAAACTTGACGACTCATAAGAACGCGCAAGCGACTATTTGAATAAACATATTTTTGATTCGATTTGATTTGAGATAGTCCTCCCGTAGTGATGCCGATTTGCATGTTCCTTTTTTATTTTTACGGCAAACGAGCAAGTGGCTCACCTGGTGTTAAGTGATGATCACTTATGCCGCCCATGAACATCTGCAACACCGGAGGGCTTGCAAATGGGTTGCCGGCCTTTTAGGAGAGAATATGCTCTCTTCTTGAGGGATACCAGATCGTGACGGTTCGGGAAGGCCGCCGGCGTTCATACGTGTATTAATCCTCGGTAAGTTGAGAAGCTCATATAGCTCGTAGAACCGATAACCTTTGGAAGAAAGGTTCTCGAGTGGCAGCCTCGTACTGGCCATCGCAGTGTAGGACGACCCCCCACTAGATGGAGTTACGACCTGTGCAATTGTACGGGAAGTCGATGGATGCAGGTGGCTCAGGATCGTACTTCGTGGCAGTCTATGGGGGAGGCCTATGTTCAGCAGTGGACTCAAACAGGCTGAAATGATGATGATGATGATTATTGATTTGTACTTAATTATGTAGTAACGGAGATTTTTTGACCTAGTTTGGTAGAGCTGACCAAGCCTCCTACTGCATCAGTCTATGGTCATTAGTTTTGCGTTACACCAGTATATAGCCGTTGCAAATGGGTGTTTATGCAACCCAGACAGTGTAAATTAACCATTATGGGGGAGGCCTATGTTCAGCAGTGGATTCCAACAGGCTGAAATGATGATGATGATGAAGCTGAGAAGTTCATGTGTAATAATGTCCAGGTCTGCAAATATATTCGAGTTAACGCGCTCCAAAAAGGCCTCTTCTTTCCCGGCAGCACAAACTTTAAGATTTAAATGTTACTTATCACTGTTATAGTTTTTGCCTATTTGCAGAAGGGTTGTCTGTACATGCCAATTACCTTGTATATGAGCTAACAGCCTAAGATTTAAACAACATTTAAAAGAAATAAGATTTTATTATTAATTTTGGCCTGCCGGTGTTCTCTGATAGCAGCAATAAGTGTCAAAAGCTAAAGAAATAGAACTATGTTACAACCGACAGATATACACAGCAAAAGAAAAAATCAAGTAACAGCCTATATATGTGCCACAGCTGCCGTCCAATCTGCGGAGAGTAATTACAGTATAGTCGTAGATTGACGGATTTCACATACCTTCTAAATATATTTTTTTGTTATTATTTCGAAAATGTGCAGGTTGCCTCACGATGGTTTCCTTCGCCGCTGAGCATGTGACATGTCAACACTTAAAATTAACAATTTCATTGGTTCGGGCACCGGACTTGAACTCGAGTTTCTCGAGTATATTGAATTAAAAGCGAGCCGTTGAGCTATCACGGCTCACCAGAAGAAACGCTGAATTGATATTACTTCGGCCTCCTATCAGGCCGAGTACTTCCCCTGTATGGGCCATCTTCGTGCAAAGGCAAGCCGCTGCGTGGCTAGCACAAAAAGCAACCGGCGACAGGAATCTAACGATACAATAAACATTGTTTATGTTTGTTATAAAACTGCTGGCGCCATCTGTTCGATACATATTGTATGAGGTCGCCCTATCGCACTGGATCTCGTTGACCGCAAAAACAGCCGATGTTTCCACTCTGTGTGTATGTATGTGATATGTATGTGATTTCTCGGAGCCCCGATATCGTTATGTCGCCGTGTAATTTTCTTAGAAGCGTAAGTAATTGGCAATGACCCTCTTTCGCGACGAGGATTAAGAAGGGATGGGAATCGATCACAACTTGTTGGAAAAGGGTAAATTAATCTGTTTAAAGGGAAGATGAAGACAATGTAATACGAATTAATAAAAAAAAGCATGTGTGTACATATGTACGCACGTAAGAAGTTATACTTCTTTAACGTAACACAAGAAAAGTGTGTGTGCCAGTACTTTTTGAAAAGACTATATTGATAACGGTTAATTAAACAGTTTAAAACTATTGGTAAATGTCAAAAAGTTGTTTTTGGTTGCCATGGTAATACCGTGAAGTCGCTTTGCAACAAACTTCATCATTTCGCTTTTTGGCTGTCAATGTACGCGCGCAATGTGGAAATTTTTATGTCATAATTTTTTTTTTCAAAATTATTCATGTAACGGAATTACAAACTAATTAATCCGGTATAGCACTTTCATACGAATGTACATGTGCCTTAAAACCCGAAAGTTGAATCATTATTAAAACGAGTGTTGGCATTATTTGAAGAATTGAGAAGTAAATGCGGCAAAACTGTTTGATAAGTGTATCTGCATCAAATTCAACGTACGATAAATAAATTTATTAAAAACATTACCCAGATAAGTGAAATGAAATGTTTACTCATTATAAATCGTGTTTTCTTTGTACGTTGTGATCATAAAACTTTGTTTAAATATTTATGGTTTTCAGCTCCAGATAAAAAGTGGAAAGTCTATATTAATGTTTTTAAATCATCTATAAACGTCATCAAATTAATAAAATCGATACAAAATCAAACGGAATCAAATTAGAAGAGAAATGAAAAAGCAATGCCGAGGCAAGGCAACTTATGAAGTGTTTTAACTTGCATTAAACCTCAAGTTCATTACTAAACATTTACTGATGAGACTCGACGACGTACATATACGAAATTTGTGAAAATTAAGCGTTTAGTGAAACCTCCTGAGTGCGGTCATAAATGGCTTAAAGATACGATGAATTTCTTCAGTATTGAGCTTTTGTTGAATGAAATATAATAATCAAATTCGGTTACATTCTGTTTATATACAACATTTTAGAAGTTGTTGACTGATTAATATCACGATATCTTTATAGGTTTTAGAACGCATTTATAATATGCGTCTCCCTTATCGAGATTAAGCGTTATGCTTTATCCTTCAAAAGTCAAATTGTACTTTCAATAAGCCACGATCTTTAATGAGTCGCACGACACGACTTGGAGCTTTAATGAATTGCTCACTTATTGCTATTTCCTCAGTACTGATAAAATAATGCTAAAAGTAGCGCACAAATCATATACGAGTGGACGAATGGACGCCTAAGCTTTTAAATGTGTTTTCGTTAAACCAACACGTTCTACAACACTCTTCACTTCACAACAATGTCAGCGGCCAGTAACAACAGATATGCAAAAAGATGGTTTATAGAATTCAAGAAAGAAATTGTAGTAGGGCGCCATGCTAAAACTTGTTTCAAAAGTCGTTGCCGTTGTAAACAAACTGTTTCAGCCACGCTATTCGCTGCTACTTGCGGCCCGTCATTGCTCGTGCACACACCTTGAACGTGAATATACGAGCCGCGCTATCGTGACAAAAACTATGCAATCAACTCGTTATCTCGTAAGCACACATTGCAACAAGAATTCGCTTCGTTAAATACGCGAAATTGCCGCCGATTTAACCATTAAAACCCTGCTCTTTGCATAATTTGATAATTAGACATTTGTCTCCTTTTTATGTGAACAATTAAAAAGCAATTACCAACGCGCAACGGCTTATGTGACGTGACGGCGGATTGTTTACGAAGAACTTGTTATTTTTATCATTTAATATATTCAAAGTAGCGACAATTGAGCTATGGTTTAACCAGGCACCTTTTGCTGTTGCACAAATGGGCATGCTAGTCAAGTAAAGTGGAAAAACCGGAGGGTAGCTATTCTAAAAACAATCGAATCCCTCATTTATTAAGTAAGAAAATGTATTTTTACGGTGGTAGGGCCACCCAGCAGCCTCGGCTGTTGCACAAATGGGCAGGCTCGTCCGGGTAAATACCACGACCTCACAGAAGAACGGCGTAAAGTGGAAGTATAATACTTTCGCGTTTCGTCTGCTCACCAGAGGTGGCCAGAGCCCAATTTTCAAAAAAATTTCAACAGACCTGGAGCCCTCGGGTGCAGCAGATGTCCATGGGCGTGGTAAAAAAGTTTATAGGTATATTGTAAAAATCGTCCTATTCACTAATACGCAATCATTTTGCATTTTTCATTTTAAAATTTGATTCTGTGACACTCCGTAGTCTGATATTTGAAAAGAAAATGAATTGACCAAACAGATCGTAATAAGAATCGCAGAAAACATACAAATCTATAATTAATTAAAACGTATTGCTACTTATACCTCCAAACTTGATATCAGATAGCGGGCACAAAGATTCGGTCAGAAGTATCTATTTGTTTTAATATTTATAATATTAGGCTGCTGCGTTGTAATGATATTACATTAGTTAGCTGAATGTATACGAATATATTAGTAGTAATATGTAGGAAACAAGATCCTGTGCACGAATTGCAACACATGTTATTAGGGGTAACTTTCTCAGTCAAGAAAACATCTATAAATAACTATGACACTGTTTTTGCTATGTAAAAAATACAACATCCTCCAACAAAATCTGTTTATGGAAAACTACCCGCTGCTAAATTAGCAAAAAAAAAGTAAGAAATCATTTTATCAAAAGCGTAGAATAGATAACAAACAAACACGATTCAAAGTTTATTTAGATAGAGTTTTTCACACATACCGACTCTTAAATTAACATACCCTGATGGAACATGTGAAAAAACATACAAACGTCTTTATAGACGGGATTGTGAGTTTCTCTGCTGTTTTTAAATACAAGTCCAACATTTCACAAAAACACCTTTTGATATTACCGTTCGAGATAAGCTGGATTCTATCAAAATCCGCCTTATTGAGATTTTCCTATTTGAGTAATGTATTTGAGCCATGTTTGATAAATATAATTAAAAATTAGCACATTCGCCTATATCGAATGCGGATAGTTATTAAATACAATTTATATGAAGTCATGTTTCTTTCTTCACTTTAGCGTTATATCTGAGCAATTACTGGAGAAGAAAACCGGTGATTCCGGATAAAATTGCGCAGAATGGATATTCGCTCGGTCCGCGACCTTGAAAAGATTCTGCAGAAGGTGCTGTTGCTCCATTAGCAAAGTGTTCAGATGCCTCATTTCCTGGTCTATTTTCTTCAAATTGAAGGTCGTCTGATCTATTTTCTCCTGCATGCCACGTATTTCTATGTTGAAGTTGTTGTCACTGGTCTGAGATTCCTTCTTGAACTTCGAGGAGTATTTGTTGTTATAGAGGATTTCCTTCACCGATCTACCCGCCTTTACTTTGTTTATCTGTGCAAGTTCATACGCCGCCATCATTATGTCAGTCGGCAATCTCTTTTCCCTCGGATTCAGGGGTTTCACGCTCAGTATCACCTTTCCAGCTTCGGGTGAAACGAGCGCTGTTCTGTAAACGTACTTATGGAGACACTTCGGCAGTACGGCGCTGAAGAGGCCCATTTCCACGAAGAGAATCAGCTTAGTCTGACGTACGAGCTTAGACAGTCCTGCGGTCTTCCTCAGCCCTTGGATATCGTGAACCGCAATACCGACTAGTAGATTCATCAAAATGATTGTAACAAACATAAGGAATAGAATGAAAATGATTTGCGAAGACAATTCAAATATCAAAGGCGGATCGTCCTGCATTGGGTCATTTATTAGAATGTTTAAATTCAACTCACCCACCATCATGGACAGCGTACTGATGAAGCCCATTAGGGGATTTGAAAACATCTCTTCATTCGGGAACACCACGCAAAAGCAAATCGTAAATCCAAGTAGTAGGCAAATGTAAGCTAGTAACAACTTCAGAAATTCCGTCAAAACCTTCTGGTACATTGCGACGTAATCTCCAAACATTGGCAACTGACCCATCAGCAACATTAAATTCGTCCAAGCGCCTAGAACAGCATAACCGCCTACATGGTTTTGCCAACCGTAATCTTTATGTATGTTATACAAAGAGAACACAGATAATAAAACGAACCATTCCATGAGATTCTCGAACGTGGTGAAGTATTGATACATACTAGAGTATCCTGTTATACCCGTCAACTTACGCACGATTTCAAAAGCCGTAATAGCTATGAGTATCCATCTTTCAAACTCTATTGGGTTGTCCTCCAAGATATCGCCGAGTAAAGACTGCGACTGACATAACTCATTCGGTACTCCATACTTCTTTGAATATTTACCTTTACATGTTTTGACAACCGCTGTCAAAGCGTAAATAGACAAGAACGACACAAACAGGAAGCAAAAGATGAGTCGAGCTAAATAGAATTTTCTTATCTTCCGCCATTTCATAAATAGAAAAGCTGAACAAAGTGGGTGGAGCAAAATATCTTTCTGACCTTCATCGATCAAACTATTCAAATATGTTATCTCTCGGGGATATGAGAACTTCAAAAGTTTTCCGAAGTCGAATTCAATCTGTACTTCTTCGTTGCTCTCTGTCGGTCGACTGAGTGAAATTCCACTATCAAGGTTATGACGAAGAATAGCTAGTGATTTGGGAGTTTTTCTTGCGATGACGCTAAGCGCTGTATGTCCCTTTTTCGACTTTGATGTTACGTCTGCGCCTAAAAATATTAGAGTCTCAACGCAGGGAGTTAATCCGTCCATGGCAGCGAGATGAAGTGGAGAGTACCCGTACTCATCCTTTTTGTTTACCTGCGCTCCCCAGCTAACAAGCATGTCTATTATGTCGCAAGCACGATCAGAGCGGCAAATACTGGCATGTAACGGAGTCCTTTTGTCGTAGTCTTCGGCATTTGGATCTGCGTTGCCATCTCTTAATAGCACCTCCACACACTCTACACTAGAGCATCGTGCAGCAAGGTGTAGCGCTGTGAAACCTCTGTAATTTTTAGTGTTTGCCTTGGCACCATCAGCAAGGAGTATTTCTACACATTCAGCATACCCTCTGGCGGCAGCTAGATGAATAGCAGTGCATTCTTTATCCCTTTGTTTCGTAACACCGTTCACACTTATTCTGGTTTCTTTTAACAAATACGCCAAGCAACGCTGGGCACCAAGTTCCGCAGCGAGATGTAAAGCATTCAGGCCACCCGATGTAACATACGCCGGATCCACACCCTTTTCTATAAACAGTTCCATACACTCGACCGCATCTGCTCGTACTGCACAATGCACTAAATTGTCTTCACAGCCAGCCCTCTGCACCACTGAATGTAGACACGCACCGTTAGCAATTAGTATCTCAGCGACTTCTAAAGAGTTTCCGAACGCGGCGCAATGTAACGGCGTGAAATATTTGGGAGCGAAGTCGACGTCAGCACCACTCGCGATCAAATACGAAACCGATCTGGAAGCGCCACTGAAAGCCGCAACATGTAGAGCAGTCAAACCAGCTGGCTCTGAATAATGAATATCAGCACCGGCTTCCAGAATAGCTGGCAAAATTTCGTCCCTGGTCAAAAACGCCGCCCACAGCAAAGTCAGGTTCACGACCACCTCGGGCGCGGAGCTTATGTGTTCTTCGATGTTGTCGGCAGTGATCAGGCCGCACTCTACGTCGTCGAAAAATCGCCCAGCGCCCAGCGTTAGGGCTTTTTCGCAGAGTCCTCTCCTGATCATATCTTCTGTTAAACGCGCTTCGGGATCTGGCGCGAGAACGTCAAAGCTCTGGTACATGTTCGGGGCATCCTCGGCAGGCGGGGAAGGCCCGACGAACAAATATTCTTTCGCTTTGCCGGGCTCATGTGCTGACTCCAGCAGGTCGATGTTCCGCACATGTTTGTAAGTGCCTTTGAGGGGGAACTCTTCCGGCTCCCTAGTCCTGGAACTGAAACTGCTGGTCAGCCTTGACCTCGTTGGTGTTTGGGTGGGCGTTTGCAGAGGCGACGGCCACCCCATCTCGCGGTAACCGAAGTTGTCCATAGCTGGATCGTGACTGCGTCCGCATCGAGCGTTTGACCGTTATCTTATCGGTTCTGTTTAACTGGTGTCAAGACAAGTGAGGCGTCTGTTGACGGCGTGATTTATGATGCTATTTTTACGTAGGGCAATTATGATGTAAAGACGCGATTTTTAGTATTGGATGAGCCGTTGTGATACGCATTAAATAATCTATTACGCGTGCGTTATGACGTGAAAGATTTGTGTTCGCGCTCTTTGTAGTTTCGTGCCATCCGTTTAGTTAATAAATATAAACACTGGCTATTTAGATGCATAAATAAAACGACATCTGTTCATTTACTTGTAGCGTATTTACTTTCAGCAAGTAACGGGCGTATTGCTTTACCTTCGGCTACTAATATTAAAATAATAGTTGTAGAGAAAATATTGGTAAGTAATTAATTTAACATATAAATCCTTTGCGATGGTGCAGAAAAAAAAGCAGGTAACTTGAGCTGCTGAATATAAAATAAAATATTTTTAGAAAATATTAAGAAGTCTAATCTAAATCTAAATATTAAAAAATCTAAGGTGTAAAGTTTTTTAACTTTCCGTTTCTTTTAGTGAGTGATGATCTTGCCTCTTTAAAGCTGACGACGCATTTGCGATGTCAATGTATTTCTTTACATCTATGGGCTCGTAATCACTTAACATTAGGTGACTGGCTCTTTTCGTTTGCCTCCTTCGGTAATGCAAAATGGTTGCTTGTAGTATATAAACTATGTTATGTGTGTAGATATAAAATATTCACAGAAGAAAGTATATTATATAAAGTACTAGCGACCCGGTTTCGCACGGGTGCAATGTATTTTACATAAAAACCTTCCTCTTGAATCGATCGCATCAAGATCCGTTGCGTAGTTTTAAAGATCTAAGCATACATAGGACAGACAGACAGCGGGACGACTTTGTTTTATATTATGTAGTGAAGCCTGCTTCATTACATAGTATAATACAATTCGCTCAAGCTTACGAATCTTCGCGGATGAAATAATTGAAAAATAATTTTGGAAATATTAAAAACAAAAACTTTCGATAAATCTCTTAATATTATCGCTGCTATGCATTCTAATAAATTATATGTAATAAAATAACACTATATTATGAAATCAACAAAGGCTTTAAATAATAGAAAAAGGGGAGGAAAATTAAAAAATAAATAAAATTAAGAATTGATATAGGTTTTCTATAATAATATAGTCACATTCAACAATGTCTTATTCGTTCCACTTGACAGTGACATTCACAAAGTGCCATACACGGGAACAGAGTGTCAACCGAGTTAATGACACCACACGCAACTATTTATTCACTCCTCTCCTCCTCCACACCCTCCAACCATATGCAAGTATATGACATTTCTCAGTATATTATTGTTACTATATAATTTTCCTTTTGTACCTGTACTTTGATACACTTTCTTGCCTTTATTATCGCGTTCTTTGTGGAAAGTCGATCCTAGCTTGAAGTACTGAATTTTTCTCGCTAACGCATTGTCTTTGTCGTGTTGTGAACTGCAACAAGGCAGCTGTAATAGCTAAATTGTGGTGAAACATCTATAGCAATTTAGACGACACGATAGGCGCACGATATGCACCTGCTTCTTGCGCCAGAGGGTGTGGGTTCGATCCCTACTACTGGAAAAATATTGTATTTTGATGATTGATTGATTGATATTTGTATGTATGTATTCTAGTTTATGGGTATTTATATATTTATAGTATTTACAAGAAAAGAAAAGTATGTTTAAGTATGATTATCAGTAACGTAGTATCTATACAACAAACGTAACTTAGTTTGGGACTAGAGAACGTTGTGTAAAAATGAGTCCTAAATATTTATTCATTAATTTTTTTAATTTCTGTCCACTCTATGAGGGTCGAGGGTAGTAAGAGTGATTGTGCCAAACGAGTTGGTGTGACGGTCCATCAGACAATTTCTCCAGACGACGCCATCTAGGCTGTACGGCATAGCATATTTAATTAACCGAGTATTTCCGCACCGTTTACCTCATGACAAGTTGAACGTCTATCCTAGGCGACTTTAAGTAGAAAAGCCGTCGAACTTATGTCACAGCGCGGTATACACAAGTATATTTAAGGTGAAAGGGATGAATGACAGAAGACCGTCCCGGAGATAGGTAGACCTTGTTTTCTCAGACTCGTACCAGCTTCACCTCCACCGTGGTGATCATCAGCTCAAATGTAACAGACCTATCATCACTTATCGCCGCTGAGTACATATGCAGTTTAAAGTAAAACTACTACAACGTAGATAGTGTATGCACTATAATAAGTACTGTAACAAATTTCTGAAGCAGGGACCACTTTTGACATCACATATCCGATTTTTGTTTCTTTTGTTAATCATGTGTTTTTTTTTTTTTATTGTGACGTCAAATAAATATCTTTTCTTTCTTTTCTTTTTCTTTTAAAGGCGAAATCAAGATAAAAGTGTCCAGACCGATTCCAAAGGTATTAAGTTTGCCTTTGTACGAACATTTGTTATTTTTATGCATAAAGTTTTAAATTAATGAATTAATAGACCATAAATCGCAACTCGTCGTAACTGTGCCGATACTTACTCAAATTCTTGTCTCTTATAGTGATTTACTTATGCATGAATACAGCATGTGTGTAAAATAAATCATATATATTTTAATGGGTAAATAAAGGTTCTTCACATTAAAAGTTGTATTTTTTTATGTAAAAAACTTGCCAAGCGAGCAGGCGGTTCACCTGATGTTAACTGACTACCGCCGCCCATGGACATCTGATACACCCGAGGGTTCCAGATGCGTTGACGATCTTTTTGTAAATTGGTCTACGGCTACCTCAATCAACAGACGAAACGCGAAAGTATAATATTTCCAATTCACGCCGGTCTTCTGTGAGGTCGTGACACTTACCCTGACGAGTCTGCCCATTCGTGCAACAGCCGAGGCTGCTGCGTGGCCCTAACACATTTAATAAGTATTTTTTAGTTATAGACTCAATAAATCAAACAAAAAACGTCCAGCTTCACAGGTCTTAGAAGGCCTAAATAAAGGAAGGCCTAAAAATAATAAAGAATACAAATACAATGTTTTTTATTGCAGCGAACATTCTAAGTAGAATTATGAGTAATTTAAAAAAATAATCCACCCCTTTCACCATTTATACAAAGATGATATAGGCATACAATTACTTTCAATGGCTTAAAAACCAATTGTTCTTAACTAAATATTTCTACGTCCACATTCAGAAATTATTGAAATTAAAATGTCAAGCAACAGCTCCCCGATCTGCATATTACGCGCCCTTGATATTTGCGCGCCTCATATGATCGGACAACTAACACTTTAAACTAAATAAAAATGAACTTCCACATGTCCCACTGTTGGGAAAAGGCCTCATCTGAACAAAGGGTCTTAGGGCATCCAGCCCGCGACTCCACCGTGTAATATGCACTTTCCTCACGAATTTTCCTTCACTGCTTAGCACGTGATAAGTCAGTGGTACAGTTGCTAAGGTATTGGCTTCTACCTCGAGCATCGTGGGTTCACATGGCACAACTATTTGTGTGACCCACAGATAACTGCTTCTCATCTGGGATTTTGTCTGGGAAATTTATGTTTTTAAAACGTCCTTGCAACACAGGATAATGTTTTCCTAAAGTAAGGGCAATGTTTTTGAAAAAAAGCACAAAACTAACATTTTCATTGTTGCCGCCACCGGGTTTCGAACACGGGTTGCTCGATTGTACTGAATTAAAAGCGGGCGCCCGGACAATGAGCTATCACGGCTCGATATCAATCGAGTGTATACGTTTGTGAAATTCGAAATCATCAGTTGTATCCCGTTACTTTCACACGCGCATACTCACATGCAGGTCAACCTAATAAAAGCGTGCTAACGAACAAATTGGAGCGGCTTAGTCACTGCCAAAAGCTATTCCGCCGCCGCCGGAGACACGAACGAAATGTCGCGGAAAATTCAAAACCATTAGCCGCGCCCAATTAGCTATCTAAGACGACCCTTCGTAACGATGTAACGTACTGTCATCTCACCACAATTAGTGTGACCATCATATCTATCTATAATATACACCGTGTCTTTACAATCGCGACAATAAATGAACACACATATAGAGGATAAATTTTTAAAATTGTCTTCAACATTTACATTCGTTAAACATCAATATTTACAGAGTTATTAAATTATCCAAAACAAAGAATTTTAGAACAGTATTACGTATAAAATTGTAACGTAAAGTTCATTTGTAAAGGTCACAAAGCATATGCATGGGTTGAATGAATTTAAAAGAGACAAAACATATTGTTAAAAGGAGAGGCTTTTAATGCAAAGCTGTGGCAACGAATGAAAAAGTCTCTGAATGTATGAATCAGTCAGTTGTAGTTGTATAGGTTGTTACAAATTTTGTTTCTTTTTTACTTGTTTGTTTGAAAAATATTTTTTTTAATTATGGATTTTGTTTAACGTTAATATTTTTTATGATTATTGGCTAGTAGTGTTAGACGTGTGTTCATTTATTGTCGCGATGGTAACGACACGCTGTATAAAATTCTCGTGTCACGGTGTTTGTAATTGAACTCCTCCGAAACACAACATATCGGCCAGGGTGGAAAATCGGACATTATCTGTTTTTCATCCCTCTAAATGTTGAGGGTGGTCCACCCAAACATTTTTTTCTACCCTACAAATATTTTATTTGGCAAATAACGTTTGCCGGGTCAGCTAGTAATATATGAAAAGTTACATGGCACACGGATATTGTCATAAACACCCACATGGTTATATAATATCAAGTTTGCCTAGTAATTTCTTTATTTATTTATTTGTCAGAATAAGGTAATACATATAGGTCTTAAATCTAATATAGAAGTTCACTTATTCTGTCTCTTTTATAGGCGTACAAATATTAAATCGTCTTAATTTAATTTCGACATAAAATTTTAATACAAACTATAAAAAATTAGTAAG